GGTGGTTGATGGGAAATGTTCATCCTGGAGTTCAGTTACTAGTGGTGTACCTCAAGGATCTGTTTTGGGGCCACTGCTGTTTGTCATTTTTCTAAATGACCTGGATGAGGGCGTAGAAGGATGGGTTAGTAAATTTGCGGATGACACCAAAGTTGGTGGAGTTGTGGATAGTGCGGAAGGATGTTGCAGGTTACAGAGGGACATAGATAAGCTGCAGAGCTGGGCTGAGAGGTGGCAAATGGAGTTTAATGCGGAAAAGTGTGAGGTGATTCACTTTGGAAGGAGTAACAGGAATACAGAGTACTGGGTTAATGGTAAGATTCTTGGTAGTGTGGATGAGCAGAAAGATCTCGGTGTCCGTGTGCATAGATCACTGAAAGTTGCCACCCAGGTTGATAGCGTTGTTAAGAAGGCGTACAGTATGTTAGGTTTTATTGGTAGAGGGATTGAGTTTCGGAGCCATGAGGTCATGTTGCAGCTGTACAAAACTCTGGTGCGGCCGCACTTGGAGTATTGCGTACAGTTCTGGTCACCGCATTATAGGAAGGGTGCGGAAGCATTGGAAAGGGTGCAGAGGAGATTTACCAGGATGTTGCCTGGTATGGAGGGAAGGTCTTATGAGGAAAGGCTGAGGGTCTTGAGGCTGTTTTCGTTAGAGAGAAGAAGGTTAAGAGGTGACTTGATAGAGACATACAAGATGATCAGAGGATTAGATAGGGTGGACAGTGGGAGCCTTTTTCCTCGGATGGTGATGGCTAGCACGAGGGAACATAGCCTTAAATTGAGGAGTGATAGATATAGGACAGATGTCAGAAGTAGATTCTTTACTCAGAGAGTAGTAAGGGCGTGGAATGCCCTGCCTGCAAAAATAGTAGACTCGCCCACTTTAAGGGCATTTAAATGATCATTGGATAAACATATGGATGATAATGGAATAGTTTAGGTTAGATGGGCTTCAGATTGGTTTCACAGGTCGGTGCAACATTGAGGGCCGAAGGGCCTGTACTGCGCTGTAATGTTCTATGTTCTATGTTCTATGTTACTCCATGTTTTTTTTTCTACCAAAATGCATTATCTCACATTTCCCTGCATTGAATTTCATCTGTCAGGTGTGTGCTCATTGGGCCTACATGTAACTTGTAGTGTAACGTATTATATTGTGTATTGAGTTTTTAGTGCGCTACTTGTAATTATTCAATATGCTAACCATGAAATGATACAAATTCACACGATTTGGTCTCTTGTATAATGTGACTCTGCAGACTCATGAAATATTTTGTAACCTTTCAAAAAATATTGTACCAAACTGCTGTTGTAACTACAGTGTCTAAATAAGTGGCCCAGTTAAGTTTTTGATCAATAGTGTTAGTGTTGAGTGCAGTGTAGGGATTGGGAATAAATTGTGCAAACACACAGCAGCATAACAAGTATGGTCCAGAAAAACATGCAAGCTACTTAGCTTTGCTGTTTTCTTTCAACAGAGAATGAATGCAGCTCTCATGAACAATGCAGAATCCAGAAATCAGTAGAATCTTAAATAGAGACCGAACAATGTGCAACTTCCTATTAATCATTCACTGCTGTTTAAATATCCTGAAGGCCTTTTTATGTCTCAGTTGTCTTTTGTGAGCGCTTACGCAAAAGCAAGAAAGATCAATGAAAAGGCTTAACAATAAATGAAGGCATCTCATTATTTTACTTTTATGAAATGGGTATAACACAGCAATTTGCATGTTGTAAACCAGTGAAGTGCTGGTAACAGATGGGTGCTGAATCTTTGGTATGAAAATGAAAGGTGGTCTTGCGAGATGTCAGCGCAGAGCAATGGGATTAACATGAGAAGCATGTATAATGATGGTGTAGCCCCGATGACAATCACATGACTAACTGTTGCGGGCGGGAATGAAGCAGAATCTCGAACCTAGCATGAAGACAACTGCATATGGAGAAGCTTTGTAAAGAAGGCTCTCTTCTCCAGCTAACTTCAAAAATCTTCCTCATGTGAGTTGAGAAGACACACAGCCAAGGTAAAGTGGCCATAGTCCTTATAGACCATTGGGCTGCTCTTTGGTGGTGGTTTAACCTTAGGGTCACCATGCTTTCAGTGAGGGGAATGGTTGAGAAGGAGAAGCATAGAATCCCTACAGTCTTTAAGCAGGCCATTCAGCCCATCAAGTCCATACCGCCCCCTCCCCAAAGAGCATCCCACCCAGACCCACCTCCCTACCCTATATCTGTAACCCTGCATTTCCCATAGCTAATCCAATTAGCCTGAACATCCCTGGACACTACGGGCAATTTATTATGGCCAATCCACCTAACCTGCACATCTTTGCACTGTGGGAGGAAGCCAGAGCACCCAGAAGCTACACATGCAGCCACAGGGAGAATGTGCAAATTCCACACAGACAGTCACCCAGGGTTGGAATTGAACCTGGGTCCCTGGTACTATGAGGCAGCAGTGCTAACCACTGAGCTACCATGCTGCCCTTCATGATGGGGGTCATCACTCTGCATCCGAGCCAATTTCCTGTCTAGTATCCACCACTCCTGTGCCAGTCTTAAAACTCTTACCTGTGTGATGACACAGAGGGAGGGAGTATGATGGAGGTGGTTGAAACGTGTTAGTCATGATTTAAAGGTAGGAGGAGTGGTGAGGTGTCGCCAGTAAGTGAGTAGGAAGTCAGTAGGCAGGTGGGGTTAGTAGATTCTGAGGATGAAACCACATCTGGAGAATTGAGAACAGTATGGGCTATTTATTAAAGAAAGGATGCAAATGCATTGAAAGCAGTTCGGAAAAGATAAATGAAACTAATTTCTCGACTGGGTGGATTGCCTTATGATGAAAGGTTGGTAAAGCTAGACAAGTGTCTGTTGGAGTGTCGAAGAATAAGAGGTGACTTGATGGATACATATAATCCTGAGGGGACTTGATAGGGTATACGTACAGAGACAGTTCAATTTATGAGAGAATGAAGAACCAGATGTCACTGATTAATGATCAAGGATTGTCCTGTTTAGGCAAGGCTTTTTTTCCCTGGGAGAGAGTCTTTGGAACTCTCTTCCCATGAAGGTTTTTGGAAGCACAGCCCTTGACATTTTTTTTACAGCAGAGGTAGAAAGATTCTTGTTATGCAAGGATGAAAGGTTATCTGGATAGCTGGGAATGTAGACTTGAGGTTAAAGTCAGATCAACCATGAATGGTGGATCAGTCACGAGGCGCTGAATGACCAATTCCTGCTCTTTGTCTATACATGCGTATCTTTTAGGTACAGAAAGGTGGAAAGTGTGCTGTGATGGACCATCAGCAGGCTGATGTGACAATAGTGTTGAAGGGCGCTAAGCAAGGGAGCTGAGCAGTTCATTGGGACCTCCACCATTAGGTGGCAATGGTGAGGGAGGGCAGCTGGGACAGTTGAATGGACTCTTGCAGGAAATAACAGTGTCTTTGGTAGAGGGAAGGCTAATTGGAAGGTGGAGCAGACAGACAAATGATTTCCTTATTGAAAACAACATGCTGGAAATTCTAATGGGTCAGGCAGCATCCATGGAGAGGGAGAGGAAGCTTACGTTTCAAGTCTAGATGACTCTTCATCAGAGCTGATCTTAGCCTGATGCAACATGTAGGCTGTTTTTATGTAAATAATTAAATAGTTCCCAATTTATCCTTAATTTTATTTTTACTTTGTAATGACCTGATGTCAGTGGAATAAAGAATCCCTGCTTTGTGGTCTTTGGGCAATTTGAATGTTCAAACAATATATTACATCTCTGGATCTTGAAACCAACCGCCTTCAGCTGCTTCATCAATGACCTTCCCCCCACCTTGAGGCCAGAGATTGGGATGTTCAATGATGATTCCACAATGTTCAGCACCGTTTGTCACATCTCTAATACCGCAACAGACTGCCTCCAATGCAGAGGGACCCACATTCAGGCTGATAAGTGATAAAGTAACATTTCTGCCACACCAGTGCTAGGCAGTGACCATCTCCAACAAGAGAGAATCTAACCACTGTCCTTGACCAATTGTATTACCTTCACTGAATTCACCCGCTCTCCAAATTCTTGGAACTTACTTTGGCCAGAAAATGAACTGAACCAGTTGTATCAATAATACGGTTGCAAGAGTTGGTCAGAGTCAAGCAACTATACTGCAAGTATCTCTCCATCCTACCTGTCCACCAGGCATAAGTCAGAAGTGATATGGAAAACTCTCCACTTGCGAGTGAGTGAAGCCTTGAAAACACCCAAGGTTGACACCATCCAGGACAAAACAGCTCACTTGATTGGTCTCTCATCTATCACCTTTAACATTTGGTGCCTTCATCAGCAATGCACAGTAACAACAGCGCGTACCCCAGACAAGATAATTTGCAGTAACTCTCCAAGGCTACTTCTCATCAACTTTCAATCCAACCAGCTCTATCATTTAGAAGAAAAAGGGTAGCAGGTGCATGGGAACACCGCCATCTGAAAATTCCCATTCAAGCCACATACCATCCAGACTTGGAACTATATCGTCATTCCTCACTGCCAATGGGGTCAAATCCTGGGACTCCTGTGCTACAGCACTGTGTGTGCTTCTGTACCCCAAGGAGTGCAGTGCCTCAAGAACACAGTTCACTATCATCTCTCTCCAAGGCAATTAGAGTTGGTCAATAAATTCTGGCCTTTCCAGTGATGTCCACTTCATAATGAACAAGAAAAAGAAAACTCTGTCACTTTTAAACTGACTGGATACTGTTACAACTGTTAGCTGGTCAGAATGTTTGGGTCCACAGCAGAAATCTTCTGGGACCTTATGTTTAATCCTGACATGTGTAAACAGAATGACTTTCCTTTTAACAAACTGACCACTAACTGCAGGGTCATTGGACCTTGTACTACTCTCAACCCTGGTTAGGAGATGAAATTGTCATCCAATGCCATGAGCAGTACAGGGGGAAAAGGTTTACACAAAAGCTCCTCAGGATGAACGCTTAAAATGTGATAGAGAATGGCGAAGAAAGAATTGGCTTTATCTGAATTCTCTCCGAATGACCATCAGACGCACCCTCTTGAGGACACTGTGATATTTGAGCAACACAACTCTGTAAACGTATGTGAAAATCTGTATATGGGCTGATGCTTCTGGGATTCCGCTTGTGGTGTTTTGTCTGTGGGGTTCAGTCGGGGCGGCTGACAGCTTGTGAGGAACCCAAGAATTGTTACAGCATGGTCGTCAGTGAATCTTTAACTGAGCCATTCTATTTCCGTTTGACTTGCAGGTTTGCAGACCAGCTCAAATGGGTGGGTGTGATGCCATCTGCTTTAACTCCATTGTTGATAGTGACCCATTTGTTCAGGTTGGAATTGAAACATTGCTGAAGTGTCATGAGTGCGCTAGGGATGGAAGCTCAATGTGGAGGGAACATTGTTCAATGTATCCCTGGGGCAGCATGCTGTTGGCTTTAAGGTCTGTAAGGAGGTCATATTCCTTGTATTCAGGAGGAAGGAAGTAGCTTCAGAATACACAGACATGATTATAAGGCGGCAGTGTGTCGACCTGACTCTGGATACAATGGCATAAGAAGTTATAAAAATAGACTGGATAGGCTGGGGCATTTTTCACTGGAGTGTAGGAGGTTGACAGGTGACCTTGTAAAGGTTCGTAAAATCGTAAGGGGTATAGATAAGGTGAACGGCAAAGGTCTTTTTCCCTAGGATGGGGGAGTTCAAAACTAAGGGCATATTTTTAAGGTGAGCGGAGAAAGATTTAAAATGGAAATGAGGGGCAACTTCTTTACACAGAGAGTGGTTCGCGTGCGGAATGAACTGCCAGAGAAAGTGCTGAATGCAGGTACAATTGCAACGTTTAAAATGACAAGTGGATAAGTTCATGAACAGGAAATGTTTGGAAGGATATGAACCAAGTGCAGGCAGGTGGGTCTGGATTAGTTTGGGAACATGGTCAGCATGGACTGGTTTGACCGTAGGAAGTGTTTCCATGCTGTATGACTCTGTGACACTATTGCCTGTCCCTAATTGCTCAGAAGGCAGTCAAGAGTCAACCACATCATTGTGGTTGGAGTCCAGAGCAGGTAAGGATGACAGATTTCCTTCCCTAAAGGGCATTAGTGAACGAGATGGGATTTTCCAAAAATCGGCAATGGATTCAAGGTCATCATTAGACTCTTACTTCCCAATTCTTTATTGAATTCAAATTCCACCAAATGCCATGGTAGGATTTGAACCTGGTTTAGGTTTCTGGATTAATAGTCTGGGGATTGTATCAGTCACCAGTGACAGTTATTGCAATGTCAAACCTATCCCTCACAGTTGGCCTCCATGCTGTTATTCCATTGTGCACAACAATCCCTTTTTCACAATTGTGATCTCTCCTTTTAGGAGAAAAGAGCACAGAACAGCAGAAAGAAACAGAGAAGATGATTTGTTCACAGAATCATAAAATTGTCACAGTGCAGCAGAAGGCGAATTGGGCCCATTGTATCTGCATTGATTCCATCACCTTGTGCTAACATCCTGCCTTTCCCCCATATCCCTGGATGCCATTCCTAATCAAAAAATAGTCTAACATCCTCTCGAATGCCTCAATTAAACCTGCTGCCACCACATTTTCAGGCTGTGAATTCCATTCGCTGTGAAATAACGAGATTCTTACAAAACTCTTGCTTTGTTGCACATCATCTATTCTGATGATGGTAGTTTCCAGGACAGAATGAAAGTGTTCAGCAAAGCAGTCACCCAATCTGTTTCATTTATCCACCATACAGGAGATCAAATTGTGAGCAGCGAGTACAGTAGACTGGAGTGAGGGAACTGCTTGTAAATCACTGCTTCACCTGAAAGGTGTGACTGGAGCCTTGGATGGTGTGGAGTGAAGAGGTAAATAGGCAGAAGTTATACTTTCTGTGATGGAGAGATCTATATGCAGAGATGAAATCAGAATAAGATGTAGGAGCAGAAGTAGGCCATTCAGCCCATTGAGTCTGCTCTGCCACTTATTTAGATCATGATTGATTTCATAATCCTCAACTCTACTTCTCTACCTTTTCCCCATAACCATTGATTCCCTCAACATCTTTCTGCGGTGAAGAATTCCACAGATTCTCTACCCTCTGAGAGAATAAATTTCTCCTCATCACTGTCCCATGGGTGGGTGACCCATTATCCTAAGATCATGCCCTCTGGTCCTAGGTTCTTCGAAAAGGGAAAGCAACCTTTATTGGATACCACATATAAGTAGTAGTTCACATGCAATTATCAATCTGGGATAGAACTGAAAGTTCAATATTCTGGGGTATGGCTATTACAGGAAGGATAGAAAGGGAGGAGGAGGAGTGTCATTTTTGATTAGGGAAAACATCATGGCAGTGCTTAGAGTACTGGGGGGATTGTCCAGTGGGTGGATGTCGGTGGAACTGACAAATAAGGGGGTGATCACTTTGGTCAGATTGTACTATAGGCCTCCCAATAGTCAGCAGGAAATGGAGGACCAAATATGTAGGGAGCTGTATGGATAATAGGGTTGTAATAGTAATGGATTTTAACTTTACAAACATAGACTGAGACTGCCATAACGTTAAGGGCTTACAATGGGGAGGAATTTAAGCGTGTTGAGAAAAACTTTCTCAATCAATATAGAGATGGCTGAACTAGAGAAGGGGGGAAATCTTGATCTCCTCTTGGGAAATAAGGCAGGCCAAGTGACTGAAGTGTCAGCGCAGGAGCACTTTCAGGCCAGTGATCATAATTCAACAGTTTTAAAATTGTTATGGAAATACTGCATTTAATTCTGGTCTCCCTGCTACAGGAAAGATGCTGTGAAACTTGGAAGTGTTCAGAAAAGATTTACAAGGATGTTGCCAGAATTGGAGGCCTTGAGCTATAGGGAGAGGCTGAATTAGCTGGGGCTATTTTCCCTGGAGGATTGGAGGCTGAGGGGCGACCATATGGAAGTTTATAAAATCATGAGAGGCAAGCATAGGGTGAATAGTCAAGGTCTTTTCCTCAGGTAGGTGTGTCCAAAACCAAAGGTTTAGAGTGAGAGAGGAAAGACTTAAAAGGGACCAAGGGGCAATGTTTTCATGCAGAAGGTGGTGTGTGTATGGAATGAGTTGCCAGAGGAGGTGGTGGAGGTTGGTACAATTACACCATTTAAAAGGCATCTGGATGGGTATATGAATAGGAAGGATTCAGAGGGACATGGGCCAAATGCTGGCAAATGGGTCTAGATTTAATATCAAATATCTTTTCAGCATGGACTAGTTGGACCAAAGGGTATGTTTCCATGCTGTATATCTTTATGGCTCTGCAAAAGGACAGGGCTCCACAAGTTAAAGTTCTAAATTGGGGTAGGGCCAATTTCAATGGTATTAGAGAGAACTTTCAAAAGTTGATTGGAGGAGGCTGTTCACAGGTAAAGGTACATCTGGGAAGTGGGAGACTTACAAAAGGGAGATAACAAGAGTTCGGGGCTAGCATGTTCCTATTTATGTAAAGGGCAAGGCTGGCAGGAGTAGGAACACTGGATGACGAGACAAATTGAGACTCTGGTCAAGAAAAAGGGAGAGCCATATGTCAGGTATAGACAGCTGGGATTAGGTGAATCCTTAAGGAATATAAGGAATGTAGAAGTACACTTAAGAAGAAAATCAGGAGGGCAAAAGGGGGCATAGCTTTGGCAGATAGGGTAAAGGAGAATACAAAGAGATTCTACAAGTATATTAAGGGCAAAAAAGTAACTAGGGAGAGAATAAGGCCCCTTAAAGATCAACAAGGCGGTCTATGTGTGAAACCATAGGAGATAGGTGAGATCCTAAATGAATATTTCACGTGAGTATTTATAGTGGAGAAGGACATGGAGGCTAGGGAATTCAGGGAAATAAATAGTGATGTCTTGAAAAGAGTCCACATTACTGAAGAGGAGGTGCTGGAGGCATAAAGATAGATAAATTCCAAAAACCTATTCAAATGTATCCCAGGACATTGTAGGAAGATAGGGGAGAAATTGCAGGGCCCCTAGCAGAGATATTTGTATCATCGATAGCTATGGGTGAGGTGTCAGAAGACTGGAGAGTGGCTAATGTTGTGCCATTGCTTAAGAAAGTTTGTAAGGAGAAACCTGGGAACTACAGACTGGTAAACCTGACGACAGTGATGGGTAAGTTGTTGGAGGGGATTCTGAGGGACAGGATTTACATGCATTTGGAAAGACAAGAACTGATTAGGGATAGTCAGCATGGCATTTTGTGTGGGAAATCATGTCTCACAAATTTAAGTTTTTTTGAAGGGGTGACCAAGAAGATAGATGAAGGCAGAGCTGTAGACGTTGTCTACGTGGACTTTTGCAAGACCTTTGACAAGTTTTCACATGGTAGACTGTTTAGTAAGGTTAGATCACATGGGATTCAAGGAGAGCTAGCCAATTGGATAAAAAAAATTTGCTTGATGGTAAGAGATAGAGGATGGTGGTAGAGGGTTGTTGTTCAGACTGGAGGCCTGTGACCAGCAGTGTGCGGCAAGGATCGACACTGGGTCTAATGTTGTTTGTTTTTTATATAAGTGATTTGGAAGAGAATACAGAAGGCACAGTTAGTAAGTTTGCGGATGACACCAAAATTAGCGGTATAGTGGACAGTGAAGAATGTTATCTAAGAGTACAATGGGATCTTAATCAACTGGGCCAATGGGCCAAGGAATGGCAGATGGAGTTCAATTTAGATAAACCTGAGGTGTTGCATTTTGGTAACAGAAACCAGGGCAGGACTTACACAGTTAATAGTTGGGCCTTGGGAAGTGCTGTCAACAGAGTGACCTCGGGCTGTAGGTACATAGCTCCTTGAAAGTGGCGTCACAGATGGACATGGTGGTGAAGAAAGCATTTAGCATGCTTGCCTTCATCAGTCAGAGCATTGATTACAGGAGTTGGGACGTAATGTTACAGCTGTACAAGATATTGGTAAGGGCATATTTGGAGTACTGTTTACAATTCTGGACACTCTGCTATAGGAAGAATGCTGTTAAACAGGAAAGGGTGCAAAAAAGATTTACAAGGATGTTAATGTGACTGGAGCGTTTGAGTTATAAGGCAAGGCTGGATAGGCTGGGGCTATTTTTCGCCTGGAATGTAGGAGGCGGAGGTGTGACCCCATATTGGGTTATAAGATCATGGGGGTATAGATAAGGTGAATAGCTAAGGTCTTTCTCCCCAGGGTAGGTGAGTCCAAAACTAGAGGGCATAAGTTTGAGGTGAGAGGAGAAAGATTCAAAAGCGACCTGAGGTGCAACTTTTTCACACAGAGGGTATTGCATGTATGTAAGGAGCTGCCAGAGGAAGTGGTGGGAGCTGGTACAATTACAACATGTAAAAGGCATTTGGACAGTTACCATGAATAGGAAAGGTTTAGAGGGATATGGGTCAAATGCTGGCAAATGGGACCGAGTTCAGTTGAGAACTGATAAGTTGGACTGAAGGATCTGTTTCCTTACTGTATGACTCTACGACTCTATCTGTGGGCAAACATTTTTGTCCCACAGGGTGCTCTTGTGTCTTTAAGAGTATGTTTCTCAATGGATTCTGCTCATTTTGTGAGACATAAGTGGTTTGAGCTGTTCTAATTTGCTCAGAAATGCACTCACCTCGGCAGGATAAATCTCCTTGCAGTATTTCTGTTAGTAGAAGTAAATAATACCTATAGCTTCAATTTTTGTCAAGGAAGTCTAATTTCTGAATCAGCCGTGTCTTCCTTTTATCTCTTTCACCCCTCCCCCAGGCTGTCCCAAATAAACATGTGGGTGAAGGTGATGAGAACATGGAACGAGGTAACTGGTCCTCCAAGGCTGACTATTTTCTCTCAGTCATTGGCTGTGCTGTGGGTCTGAGCAATGTCTGGAGATTCCCTTACCTGGCTTACAAAAATGGAGGAGGTACTGTAGAGAAATCCAAAATATAGCACTGTAGAAAGCATTGAATTAACAAGAATGTTGACAAACAATGCAAACTTGAAATTTCTAACACAAGTGACAAATGATGTCTAGTTATAAAGTGTTTACCTTGAAAAGTGGGCAATGTAACAGCATGGGGCTTTCGTGAGGAAAAGAAGAGTTAATTACGTGGTGCAAGACTTGATGCATATGTAGACTAGGCTGCACACGGGTGCATTGGCCTGTTTAGCTGATGATGTTTGTGAAGCAGTTGAGGTTTTAATAACACTGTCATTGCCATTTTTGCTCCAGTTTGTAGGTTGTCAGATTTAATGAATTCAATTCATTAGCAGTTCCTACTATCTCATTAATATATCTTGATTGGATTTGAATTTTGGGAGCTGGTCAGTACTGGTTAGCTCAGTTGGCTGAATGGCTGCTTCGTGATGCAGAATGATGCCAACAGTGTGGGTGCAATCCCACACCCACTGAGGTTACTGTGAAGGACTCACCTGCTCAACCTCCTGCTTTACCTGAGTCATGGTGACCCGTAGGTTAAACACTAATAAAAGTGCAGCCCTTTGATCTGGTAAGACTATGGTGCCTTTACCTTTGCATATAAATAGGATGTCACTTTTCTACTCTTCCTGTCAAAGTAGACAAGCTGACATTTTCCCACCTTATACTCCATCTGCCAAATTTTTGCCCACTCAGTTAATCTATCTGTATCCTTTCATTAACACTTGTCATCCTCTTGACAATTTGTTTTCTGATCTTATGTCTCCAGCAAATTTAGCAATTTAAATTTTTGGTCCCCTCATCCAAATTTTTGGTATAGATTGTAATTATTTGTGTCTTCAGCACTGATCCCTGTGACAGTCCCACTAGTTACAGTTTGCCAACTCAAATATACTCATTTATCCCAATTTCTGCTCAGCTAACCAGCTCTATATACATCTTAATACATTAACACTTCCATTATGAGTTCCTATTTTGCATGGCAGCCTTTTATGTGGCACCCTGTCAAAGATCTTTTTGGAATTCCAAATGCACCATATCTACAGGTTCTTGTTTATCCACTTTGCCTGTTACTTTCTCAATGAGTGCATGTAAGATACTAAAATGATTTCGCTGTCACAAAGCCATATTGACTCTGTGTGTGTAAGTACCTTATTAATGGATTCCAAGAATTTATGAGAAATGTTAGGCTCAAAATGTCCTGCTTTCTGCATCCTTCCGATCTAAGTCGCAGATGTTATATGCTAACTTCAGAGATCCTTCCAAAATGTAAGAAATTTTGGGGCATTGCAACCCACGTCTTGGCTAACTCTGCAGTTTGGAAAGGCTCTAGAATAAAGGTTATCAGATCCCCGGGATTTATGTTATTCGTTCACTGGCTAAGTCACCATTTATTACCTGTCCTGTATTGAGCAGAAGGAAGTTAAGGCTCAACCACATTGCTATCAGTCTAGAGTCACATGTAGGCCAGACCCCTAGGTAAGGATGGCTGATTTCCTTCGTTAAAGGCCATTTGTGAACTATGTGTACATATGATGATCAACAGTGGTAATACAGTAATCATTAGGTGACATTAAATTTCCAGAACTTTAACAGATTTATAGAGTCGTATAACACAGAAACAGGCTGTTTGGTCCAACTCTTCCAGGCCAACTAGATTTCCCAAACTAAACTAATCCTATTTGCCTGCATTTGGCTCAGATCCCTCTAAACCTTTTCTATTTATCTACCTGTCCAATCATCTTTTAAATGTTAAAACACTACCAGCTGCTACCACTTCCTCTGGACGTTCATGCCATATATGCACCACCCTCTGTGTGAAAAAGTTGTTCCTCCGGTCTCTTCCCCCTCTCATCTGAAACCTATGCCCTCTAGTATTGAACACCCCTACCCTAGGGAAAAGACCTTTGCTACTCATCTTATCCATGCCTTTCATGATTGGTAACATCCTTGTAAATATTTTCTGCACCCTTTCCAATTTAATAACATTCTTCCTATAGCAGGGCTATAGGACCAGAACTGAACACAGTACTCCAAAAGTATCCTCACCAATGGCCTGTAAGCTGCAACATGATGTCTGAACTTCTGTACTCAATGGTCTGAACAATGAAGGCAAGTGTGCTGAACGCCTTCTTCCCCAACCTGTCTACCTGTGAGATAGTAAGAACTGCCGATGCTGGAGTCAGAGATAACACAGTGTGGAGCTGGAGGAACACAGCAGACCAGGCAGCATCAGAGGACCAGGAAAGCTGACGTTTCGGGTCGGAAAATGAAGAAGGGTCCCGATCCGCAACGTCAACTTTCCTGCTCCTATGATGCTACCTGGTGCTGACACATTTTGCCCTTCCATGCTAAAACTGTCTTCACTTACAGGATCCATATCTCTCTATTCCCCTCCTATTCATGTATTTGTCCAGGTATTTCTTGAACGCTGCTATTGTGCCTGCTTCCACCACCTCCTCTGGCAGCGCGTTCCAGGCACTCACCACCCTTTGTGTGAAAAACTTGCCTCACACATCTCTTTTTAAACACCCCCCACAAAACTTGAATCTGTGTCCCCTCATAATTGACCCCTCCACCCTGGGAAGAAAAGCTTCATACTTTCCACTCTATCCATGCCATTCACAACCTTATAAACCTTATAAACAGGTCGACACTCAACCTCCTGTGTTCCGGTGAAAACAAACCCTGTCTATCCAACTTTTCTTCATAGCTAAAATCCCTCATACCAGGCAACATCCTGGTAAATCTTTTCTGTGCCCTGTCCAAAGCATCCACATCCTCTAGGTAGTTTGGTGACCAGAACTGTTCACAATATTCCAAGTGCGGCCTAACTAAAGTTCTATAAAGCTGCAGCATAACTTGCCTATCATTACACTCAATGCCCCTTCCAATGAAGGCTAGCATGCCATAAGCCTTATTTTATTACCTCATCTACCTGCACTGCCACCTTCAGTGATCTGTGGACCTGCACACGCAGATCTCTCTGCATATCAATACTCCTAAGGGTTCTGCCATTCACTGTATAATTTCCACCTGTACTTCATCTTCCAAAATGCATCACCTCACATTTGTCGGGATTAAACTCCGTCGGCCATTTTTCTGCCCATGCCTCCAACTGATCTATACATTGTGGTATCCTCTGACAATCCTCTTCACTGTCTGCAACTCCACCAATCTTTGTATTGTCTACACACTTACTAATTAGATCATCTACACTTTCCTCCAAATTGTTTATGTAGACCACGAACAGCAGAGGTCCCAGCACTGATCCTTTTGGAACACCACTAGTCATAGCTTCCATTCCAAAAAGCATCCTTCCACACATACCATCTGTCTCCTATGACTAAGCCAGTTCTGTATCCATCTTGCCAGTTCACCCTGATACCATGTGACTTCACCTTTTGTACTGGTCTGCCATGAGGGACCTTGTCAAAGGTTTTACTGAAGTCCATGTAGACAACATCAATCACTTTTCCCTCTTCAATTATCACCTTCACCTTCTCAAAAAACTCAATTATGTTTATGAGGCACAACCTTCTCTGCACAAAACCATGCTATGAATTATTAAAAGTCTATTTGCTTCTAAATGTGCTTAGATCTTGTCCCTAAGAATCTTTTCCAATGATTTCCTTACCACCAATTTGAGACTCACAGGCCTGTAATTTCCTGGATTATCCCTGCTACCCTTCTTAAACACTGGGACAACACTGGTTATTCTCCAGTCCTCTGGGACCTCACCTGTGGCTAAACAGGATACAAAGATGTCTGTCAATACTCCAGCAATTTGTTCTCTTGCCTACCTCAATATTCTGGGATAGATCCCATCAGTGCATGGGGACTTATGCACCCTTAATACTTTTTAAGATGAACAACACCTCTTCCTTTTTAGTAGCATCTCAGCTTAGAAATTCAGCGCTCCCCTCCCTGAGATCCTCCTCCACCAATTCCTTCTTTTATGGTGAGTACCGACACAAAGTTATTCGTTTAGGCTCCCACCCACCTCTCTGGCTCCACACATTGATTTCCTCTTTTGTCCTTGAGTGGGCCAACCCTTTCCCTGGTTAAGCTCTTGCTTTTTATATATGTACAAAAAGACTTGGGATTCTCCTTAATCCTGTTTGCTAACAACTTTTCATGACCCCTTTTAGCCCTTCTAATTCCTTGTTTAAGTTCTTTCCTACTTTCCTCGTATATACTTCAAGGGCTTCATCAGTTCCCATCTTCGTGGACCTTACATATGCTTCCTTTCTCTTTTTGACCAAGGTCATAACATCCTGGTTATCCAAAGTTCACATAACTTGCCATATCTATCCTTCATTCTTGCAGGAATGCGCCTTTCCTGAACTCTTATCAACTGCCGTTTGAAATAGTCCCACATGTCTGACATGGATTTATCCCCATTGCGCTGGCCCCAATGATAATTCTCCAGTTCCTGCCTAATATCGTTGTAGTGCACCTTCACCCAAGGACTGCTGTTATCCCTATACATTAGTAGCTTAAAACTCACGGTATCATGGTCACTACTCTCGAAATGCTCCTCCACTGAAACTTCACTCACCTGGTCAGGCTCATTTCCCAAAACCAGGTCAAGTATAACCCCTTTCCTGTTTGGACTGTTTACATACTGTGTCAAGAAACCCTTCTGAATGGTCCTTACAAATTCTTCCCCATTCAAGCCCCTCGCACGAAGTGTGTGCCAGTCAATATAGGGGAAGTTAAAATCATCCAACACAACAACCCTGCTGTTTTTACATCTTTCCAAAGTATACCTACATATTCTCACCTCTATTTCTCGCGGGCTGTTGGGAGGCCTGTACTATACCCCCAGCATTGTGATTTCACCTTTCCTATTCTTGAGTTCTACCCATGCTGCCTCACTGCGCAAGTCCTCTGATGCATTCTCCTTCAGGTCTAATAGTTTTCCCAACGTGTTTTCATCGTGATAGCATCTGTTTTATTTTTCCCCTAATTTTCAAATATTT